AAAGACAAGATTTCAGGTGAAAAGTTAGCCTCTTTTTTTCAAACATTCAAAGATCAAGAAAACCAATAAAATATTAGTTGAAAAAAAATGAGAAAAATACAGTGAAGATCAAATCATGCAACTCAAAAACTGATAATAAGCACATACAAAACAAACAAAAAGATCAAAACTTCAAGCACAAAATCTAGAATTAAAAATTCAAAAATGCACCTGACATTTCAATTCTTACTCTCCTTGAGCAATCACTCAAATGCACACTTCACTCACTCAATGAAGAAAAAAATAAAAAGTACACAAGCAAATACGATTAAAAGAAAAGAAAACTACTGTTTGGCTTACGAGAAAATAAAAAAATTTGAAAACCGCAGCGGGGTTTTGAGGGAACTGTCCGAATTGTGAAATGCAAGAGAAAGATGGCGTGAGTGTAAATACTATTTATAATACAAAAATAAGGAAAAAAAGGAAAATACAAAAGATAAAAATATTTTTATGTATTTCAGTATTTGTTGCTATTTTGCTAAGTCCAATAAAATAAAATTTAGTGAAGGAAATTTTCACGTCCGGGACAAATTGGATGATAATTGGCTATTATGGTAAATATAATCACAGGCGTGTGCAATCAGAGGAAATGAAATAAATGCCTTCTTTTTTTTTTTTTCCATTTAAAGCTGGAAAGGTGGTCTAAGCAAATTGTTTGAGTGGTTGGATTTTTTTTTCTCTTTAAGAAAAAAAGTTTGACCGTTTAATATGCCCCTGGTTCAGAATTAAATTACGAAAAAGTCACTGAAAATGTAAAATGCAGATTGGATACCCTGGTGGAATTGGTGGTGATTACGTCACATGCCGGTGAGGGTGATATATCGGACGGTTAGAATCTATCTGATTGGATACGCTGGATGGCACGTGGATATGAGTGACCGAGGAAGCATATGAGCAGTGGAACCGCTAGGTAACTGCTGTAAATAAAACCAGGGGCCTTTTTCTAAGCCAATTGAATTTTGACTTGGTACAATAAATAGATTTTTAAATAAAAAAATTCTCCGAACCAGCGACAAATGAGTGGAAATAACAATTCTTCTTTTCTAATCATGATTTGGTATGAAAATGTGGCACACTAATAATTTATATATATATATATATATACAAGCAATCATATGTTCATAAGGGTTAAAATGGTATAGAAACTTCCTACTAAACGATAAGGTATAAAATGAACATGCAAACTCTACGTTCATAAGCATTGGTTAAAATGGTATAGAAACTTCCTACTAAACGATCAGGTATAAAATGAACATGCAAACTCTACGTTCATAAGCATTGGTTAGAGTGGTATGGTATTGAAACTTAATACCAACAACTCAAGTACAAAATGAGCATACAACTCGTACATTCCTAAGCATTGGTTAACATGATATGGAAACTTAATACTAAACAACTCGGATACAAAACAACATACAACTCATACGTTCGTAAGCATTGGTTAAAATGGTATGGAAACTTAATACCAAACAACTCGGATACATAATGAACCTACAACTCGTATGTTCATAAGAATGGTATGGAAATTTAATACCAAACAACTCAGGTACAAAATGAACCTACAACTCGTACGTTCATAACAATGGTATGAAAACTTAATACCAAATGAATTGGGTACAAAATGAATCTATAACTCATACATTCCTAAGTGTTTGTTAAAATAATATGGAAGCTTAATACCAAACAAACCAACAACTTGTACGTTCTTAAGCATTGGTTATGAAAACTTAATACCAAACAAATCGGGTACAAAACGATATAGAAATTTAATACCATGGACACAAAACACACATACAACTCGTAAATTCATAAGCAGTGGTTAAAATGGTATGGAATTGATAAGGTGAAAATAGAGATCTTTGTACATGTGTCTGCCATACCTTCCTCTACCGTTTAAAATGTCCTTCATATTATCCTCTGTGATGGTAAGGAAAATAAACAGTGAGTCCCTTATTTGGTAATAAGCTATGATAATGTATGAAAGGGTCGCAAGACATCATTTCTTTTGAAACTAATCAAATTGCGATGTGTCATGTTAAACTTGATTCTCTATGAAACATGGATATTATTTTGAGCCTAGTCGAATTGGACATTGATATTATTCTCATTTCTCTCCTCACCTTCCATACAAAGTGTATAACAACAGTTTGTTCTTGCTTGAAAAACGTAGCCAAAATGGGGCATTTTGGCTACAAGGGCATGTGGTGAAATTCAACTACTTTCTATTCAACAATCATAAGGCATGAAATACAAAGGCATGACCTTTCTATAAGGAAACATGCCTCCAGGACCCTTCAAAACGTAGTGTCAAATTCTTTTCATATTGCAGACCAATAGAGTTTATTCACTTACTACTCAGTTCATACCTAATTTCTAGTTTGTCAAACTTGCATCGTGACGATACGATTTAGCATGAATGAAACTAGCTCTCACCTCCTCAAACGAGTACTCAACAGGTTGACCAGATTTCTCAACCTTGTAAGCACCAGAAGTGAAAGGTGTAGCTGGCGTTGTGGCTGTCAGCATTTGAACCGACATCGTTTTAGGAGTGAGAGGCACTGGAATTGGCATTGTCTTTGGCGTTCTATTCTCTTCATCACCGACGAATACTGGCTTGGAAGGTGTCATGATTGGCATCTCACTGAAAAGATGTGCTGCTTGCATGTTTGTCTTCTGTTGTGTCTTCTGACCCTCTTGGAAATTTGCAATGTTGACCTTAGATGACACTTCAGATAAGACAGGAGAGAGGGGTTTCCGAATCAATGGCGAGTCCAATTCAAGAGCCTTTCCAGCACTGGATGGATGCTTCTTTACTGAATGACCAGAAATCTCTGAGATTCTCCTTCCTGCATTAAATTTATGACGACTCATAAACTGAGGCATACAATGATGTTGAATAAGTTGTGAAAAATGACTTAACAGGATATTTTCATCAGTATGTTTAGCCTAAAACACCTATCCAAAAAACCAGTCGCACCTACATTTTCCAATCATTGCACAATTTTAGACACCATTTTCATATAATACGAATAGTGCAAGTCTTCTTTTAAATTAAAAGAAAACAACAGCTCAAAGTTCGAAGCTAATGTTGAAAAATACCAGAGGACGGAGTGTCCACTCTGTATCGCTGGTGAGAGCTACTTCGATTCAGACAGTTACCCTTCTTAGTAGGGTGTACAAGAGGAGTAGCTTTTTCAAAATTTTGGTTTCGAATTAATGCCCCACCAAGGGACATTTTTCTATTGGAAGCTTTCTTTCCACTCTTGGATGGACTTCGCTTTGAGCCATAAAGTACTTCTTGCTCTGCTAGCACCTGCCCCTGAAATCTTTTCATATCCTAGGATAGAAAAGCAATATAAGAACCGGTTGAAGAGGAGCATGCTTTCAAATATATATATATAAAATATCTAATTAATACTCATGGAATAGGAGAAAGGTTAATACTCTCTGTCTTTGCTTTTCTTGCTCTTTCTCCTGCCTTAGGGTGCTGTACTCTGTGAGCATTGATAAAAGTCGGCCCTACATAACGCAACATATATCATGGAAAACAATTTTGATAATCAACAGAATGTGGATACGACCAACATATGGTTGGATAAAACTTCACCAAATCAAGGTTTGACGTAGATATTACTTACACCATCATATAAGAATTCAAGCCCTCTTTCTCTTTCCCAAGCCGTGGTTTTTGAAGTCAATGCTTCCACCAGTCCTGCCCCACATACAATTCAAAACAAAGAAACTTACAAAATAGAGCAAAGGGAAAAATGGTAGAATTTTTTAATTTTCCATAACACATAATTGTATCTCTTGCACTGCCATACCCTTCCTGGTTCATGGTGGTAGATTAATACTAATAGCTGCATGTAAGAAATTCTCACTCCTTCCCTCTATATTGCTATGTGAGTGGGTCATGTGCCATGAAACAACTGGTATTTTGATACACGATTGGAAAGGCATACAAGATTTCAACTCAAACACATACATCACTCCTTGTCTCCAAACTGTAATTTAAATGAATCACAGACTAATTACAACAGGTCATCGAAACGAGTTTTTACCAGGAATTTTGTTCACCAGGGCACGAGCTTTCTCTGCACGTTTCAAAGTAAGATGGGCACCTCTTCCTGCATTATAGCGATTATCATCCTGAAATCCGACAATACATTGGGGGAATGAAGTGAGATGGGGGAAAAATGAGCTACATCATCCATCTATCCATAAGCATTGTCCTTGTTCAAGAACTCAATACGTGATAGAGGCCAAGTTAATGCATTTACAGGCACTACATTATCCTGAATATTTCATCATTATTCCTTGGTAAAGAATTCCCCTTGTGGGAAATATATGGTGAATTTAAAAAGTATTTCTTTGATTAATCTGGAAAGATTTTTTTTTTATAACTGAAATAGAAAGGGCAATCTCAATATGGTAGATGGAAAAACAGATTGTTCCAGAGAGAATAGAATGTTCAACCCTGTTGTACTCCTCTAGCCAGCATTCTTCTTGACATGCGGCCAACCACTTCTCAAACTTTTCTAGTATTTCTTTCCTGCTTAAAGCTTCCTCTTTAGCCCTTGTGATTTGAAGCTCAATTTGCTCCAACAGACATGTAGGGTCCACAGTTCCTGAAAAACGCTAAAAGCTAATTAGAGGTCTTTGAATTTTCTTTTGCGATTTATAAATCAAATCGTA